TGGAGCTGGATGCGTAATTCAAAAGCTTAACTGTGAGTGTCATGGATAAGGTTTAGTTTTATGAAGTCTTGCATAAGGTAGGACTGTTACTTGAAACGTGCTTGGGTGTGTTCTTTCCTCATTACAGAATATTCCTGTATATTCCGCGGGGTAGCTGCCTGCTATGGTGCAACTTCCCCGACGCGCAGAATTGAAAAAGGGGTTGCAGTTGTTGTTGGGGTTTGTATGCCTTTCAAACCAGTGTTTTTTTCAAAGTTTTGGGCATAGTTTGTAAATGGGGAAGTCAGTATGGTTGGAATTCGAGAGGAAAATATTTGGAAATCTATGGAGTTATTATCTCTGATTACTGAGGGTTTTATTTAACTAATGTGGATGGCCTCCCAGTAGCGTACAGTTAATGTTCCCAGTTCTAAAAATGTTTGTCTGAAGTGGATAATCTAGAAACAAAATCAAGTTCCTTAGAAAAAAAAAATGCTTTTCAGGCATTCTGACGAGGCGCTTCTGTACGTCTTCCTTATCTCTGAAACTCAGCCTGCAGTACTAGTGTTTGAACGTAGATTGAGAAGTGTGCAGTTCAGATGCAGAGACTTTATTGATTTTTTTCAGTTAGAGTCATTATCCCGAGCCATTTGGTACTTTAATGAAGTTCCAGTCATGAATGTCAACTTTCTGAAACAAGATAAGGGGGTGGGGAGCAATAGGCAATGTAAGGAAACTCGGGAATTGGTATGTGGAGCCGTAGTGAAATTCCTGCTTACGCCCCACTGCCGTGTTGTTCAGCAGAATTGTCTTTAGCAGAATTTCACCAGCCCCATCAGTACAATTTTCTTTCCAGTCCAACCCCCAACTTTTCATATCGGTAGGAGCAGGGATGCACCAGTGATGACAGCTTTTGAATACCACCGCTCAAAGTGCAGAATAATGTTATGAAAAACAAACAAGAAAAAGAACAGGCACATACTGTCATGTTAATGGAGAAGTTTTGTGCGGTAAAGCAACATCTTAGGGAGTGATTTGGTAAATGAGAGGAAAGGAATTGTGTGGAAAGGAATTAATGGAAAGCCAATTCCAAGCACTAGACGATGTTGAGAAGGCAGACAAGCATGGGGTGGACGTTTGAGTGGAAAACCAAGAATGGGGGAGAGTTACATCAGAAACAGGAACTATGAGGTAGGACAAATACAGGGTAGAAGCTCTTCTGGATATTCAAACCTGCTAGTTTCAGGGGTCTCGTTTTTAATAGTTCAAAAGTCTTGTGAAGTAAATTTTGGAAGTGCTCTTTTCATCAACTGAACAGTTCAAGAACCTTTCTTCTGAGAAAAAGTCCCAGTTTCTCTGGTCAGAATTTAGGACAGGAGGAGGACGATACTGGTAGAGGTGGGAGGCCTTTGTGCTGACTTCTGATCTGGTGTACTGATCTTCAGTTTTTTCTTTCTCTGTACATGACTTCCACATCTGCTGCTGCACTCAAGGACTAAGTCTTGAGCTCTTCCTCTGTGCATAGATGCGTTGTGCTTTAGTGTGTCACATCTCGACTTCAGCTGTCGGCTGTGCCGTAACTTACAATAGTAATTTTATTAGTGACTCTGCTTTTGGTTGAGCAGGAACTTGTGCATGACAAAAAAAAAAAAAAAAAAAGCCATTTCCAAAAGCCATTAGAGCTTTCACGTGAAAACAAAAACTCTTTTCCCTTTATGAAATACGTTTAGTAACTTTGAAACTTCGTCAACGTGTAGCTGTAAGAAGTTATGAAGAGCATGTGGTGCCAAATACATAAAACAATATTTCCTACCACAACGAGGATTTAAATATAGTTACTGTGCCTGGCCAGCAGTAGCAGTAGGTCATTATGAAGTGCTGCTTTGCTATTTCTTCCTTGGTTGGCTTAGTATGAAACAATATGCCAGCACCATTACAGAAATGTGGTCTTTATTTCTTTTTGGCGTTAGCGTGCCATCTCTCCATGTTCATGTAAATATCTGATGAGTTGTGATGCTTTTATAGTTGTTGTTTTGGGATTAAGCAGCTCTTAGTTTCCACTCTTTTAGATTTCACGTTGCAAATGGATTGACATCAGCGGGCATGGAAAACTTCATGTGGAAATAGCCAGCACTGACTTAGGGATATGTAAGGGTTGGACTTGCACATCATTTTCAGTCTGAAGTAATAAACTTGGTTCTATTTGTAGAAGTGACAATTGGTGATTTGAATATTTGCAGTGGAAAAGGCGGCATGGTTGGCAGAACTTGCATTCAGATCTGAAATTTAGAAGGGTTCAGTGATGCTTGTTTTCAGGTGTTCAGTTCCATCCAGCGATGCTTTTTAGAGGGAAACTAAATGCATGGATGCTTATTTGAATAGAGTAATGTTTATGACTAGGGTTTTCTCTTTCCTTTTTAGATGCCTGTGCAAAGACGTGCGAAGAAGAAATGAAAGGAGCATAAGGAGACTCGCTAATAATATTTTAACTTGCCATAATCTCAAAGCAGCTTTTAAAGGCCTTTTTTACACACTTTCTGAAAATAAATGCTTGAAGTTAGACATGACCTGTTCCAAGAAAAAGCAAATCTCAGCAGATTAACATTGTTAAATACACGGTGTGTTAAACATACGCTGCTTCAAATTTTATAGCTTATACACTATTGGTCTATCGGGCCCTTCCAGGAAAGCACTTACGAGCATGCCTAATGTTAAGCACATGAGCAGTGATCTTAAAGTCAGCGGTGGTGTTGGTGTGGGTAAGTGCTTTGCTGGATCAGCGCCTAAAGTCCTGTTAGGTGCTGAGCATCCTGATCCATATCCAGCAAAGCACTTAATCCATGCTTATCTTGAAGTGAAAGAGCCAGTCTAACTAATATTTGTGCATTAGTGTTCACCATAAAATCTCTCTTGGCACAGTGGCTCACGTGCTTAAAATTAAGCACCTGCCTAAGTCTTTTGCAAGGTCAGACCAGCAGCATCCTTGAGCAAGTCTTAAATAATTACTTGATTTTGTATGAATTTTCTTTTTTTTGTACTCATTTTTTAACAGTATATGATTTTAGTGGCCATAATAACAGGTTTTAGAAGCTGCACAGTGAAGTATGTGGTATGCAATTTTCTCCTTTCTCTTTCAAAGTCTAGCCAAGTGCAGCAAGATGGCCTTTCTGGACTAGAAGTCCAATGCTCAGACTTAGAATAATCCAAAATGAAAAAAGTTAACTATTTTTCAGGACACTTAATTTTCTGAAATCATTTCACTGACTTTGATTTAAATAGTTTTGTCCAACCCTGACCTTTTATCCAGAAGATGTCGCCTAGCTCTGGTTGTGCGGACAGTCTGACTCTTGAAGTGCTTGAGGTAGCATGGGTGTTCAGAAAGACAGCTGGAAAAGTTGTATTTTGATTTTACTTCTTTTTTTTCTAAGGGATTGAAACCTTAGGAACATGTATAAAACAAGATACGTGTTTTGTGTTGAGAACTAAACAAAAACCTATGTAATCCTCCAGATTAAAAAAAAAAAAGACCTAATTATTTATTATTTTTTTAATCATGTAAGAGACGCTTTCTGTGTCCTCCAACCAAAATGTTAGCATGAGTTTACATAAAACATGCAGAAAATGGGTGCTGATGAGATCCTTAAGCAATCTGTGTCAGATGCAGCCTGATGTTTTAACATAAATACCTGTTTATCAAACTACCATTAATACCTAGCTCTTGGCTACAAAACTTTTTAAAAGTAATAATTGACAGGATTCTGAACATCATGAATGTGTACTTTTGTACATTTTTAACTATAACTGCAGTTCACAGACACCTACAGCAAATGGCCAAAATGTTCTGTAAAGCTTGAATGTATTTGAAGCATTCTAGGTAAGAAGTAAAAAAATATTTTGTTTCCACTCTGGCAAATTCTGCCTAACTTCAGGTCAAACTAGAGCTCCAAGAAGAGTTTATTAGGACATTGCTGAAAACTAAATTCTGAGACAAAGGGGCAATAGCTTATTCAACTTTGTTTTCAGCTGATTCTGATCAACGGTGTTTCAGAAGATGAAAAACCTGAACTGTTAACCATTTAGAAATCGTATGTGAAAGGAAATGTAATCTGAATGCTTCTTTTAGAAATTTGCACTGAATTCTTTTTGTTACTT